GTAATCATTAGAGGGAATGACAATTTTCACACATTAGTTTACTAAATTCCACTCGTTATATTTAAGAGAATGAAAGTTTTGATGTATTTGTTTAATAAATCCTACCTGTGATATCACGTTGCATAAAAAACGAATTCATATATAATGTAAAAAGAACCAACAGCAAAAAAAAAAAAAAAAAAAACTCATATAAATATTTGCATTTTATTAGCGATGGTGAGAATGTTGAAAAATTCAAAATTTTAATCGTCGTAATCAAAGTTTTATAACTTTTTAGTAATGTCATTGAAATCAGAGTGTTGGATATAGCGTTACTGAAAGATGTATGAAAAGTCGAATAATGGCTGACCTCAGGCATTAACGCCTTTCCATCTCAATAGCAGACATGCTGGAATTTTGTCGATACAGTACGTCATAAAAATAAAATGTGGTAGTCATATTACATATCTAGCAGTAGAGCCCGGCGTTGCCCGGGTATGTAACAGTAAGAGATAGATCAAGTATCGACCATCATAAAGACTGAAAAATAAAAGTGACAAAGATTATTGTCTTAATTTTTTTTTTTTTTTTTACGAAATGGTCAAACCCAAAATCAAACAAAAACATTGTTTTCAATCGTTATGAGTCAACCGATTGAATAGAATTTTATTATAAACACTTGTCTTGTAAATGGAATTTTTAAAGCAGTCTGATTGTAAAAATAAAAGAAAAAAGTGTGCAAGACAATAAGAAACACTATCTGCCAAAAAAGTGAAGTTTTGTTGAAATCGGTTGAAAAATGTGGGAAATCCGATCCCATATATAAACGAAACACACACACACACACACACACACAGTCAACCTGGGTTTATAATAAGTGTAACTCGATAACTTGATATTAATAAGTATAACTCGATATGAGTTGTCCCCTTTCATTAATGCCTCTTAATCATGTTTTCAAATTGATTTCATGCAAAAACAATTGTGTTTTTCCCATTTTTGGCGCTATCAGAACCACCGCAAGGTAATTTTACGTAGTCCTGTGAAATTTTGTTGAAATCGGTTGAAAAATGTAGAAATCCGATCAATACACACACACACACACACACACACACACACACACACACACACACACACACAACACAATCTGCGTTTTATAATAAGTAAGATCTAGCAAAACGACACAGGTGCTATGAAAATTCTACTTATGGATGAATCTTCATGTAGTTTATACTATATATATATATATATATATATATATATATATATATATTCTTCTTTATGGGCTGTGTGACCTTAGGATATAGGCGATCATGAATCTCCACAACTTCCTGTCCTTTGTACCTCTTAATGAATTTAGTCTTTCTGTTATTTCTTCTAAACCTTGTTCCGCCATACACCTCACTAAGTATGTTATGCGATTTTTCTTCTGCTCCTCTTGCCTTCAATCTTTCCTGTGAGTATCATATTTTCCAAGCCCTCTTTCCTCATTATAATCCCTAGAAATAGCAACTGTCTCTTCATGATATTAAGTATAAGTTTCTTTTTTGTTTTAATTTTCTCTAAAGCGTCATCATTGCTCATGTGTTCGGTCGATGGATAAATCCAGCATCCTTCTGTAGAACCACATTTTTGTTGCTCCGTCTCTTCTTCATCTTTGAGGAGATTGTCGAGTACTCACCAGTATTTAGGAGGACAGACATCACGTAACAGTTCAGTAGTCTTTTCCCTGTTTATAGCGAAGTTTTTCTATTTCTTAATACTCTGCTTAGCTTTTGGAATGCATCTTTGGCTATCCTAATATGTCTTCGGATTTCAGTGTCACAATTTCCGATTTGCTTTTCCCACTTTGGGTTCATCTTTTTGCTAACAGCCATGCATTCTGTCTTCTTGCAAGCGATGTTTAGTCCTTTCTTCTCGCTTTCTTTCACTACATTCTGTAGGAGTTTTTCGTAGTTTTTATTCCGTATCTGCCATCAAAACAATGTCATGTTTATATCTCATGTTGTTAAGATTGTGTCCGCCGATAAACAATCCTGATAGGACTTATAATTCTCTCGGAATCGTTTCGGAGTACAGGTTGAATAAGTCCGGTGAGAAGACACACCCTTGTCTTACACCCCGTTCTATTTTGTTATATGCTGAACTCATTTTCTATCCGTATGCAGGCGGTTTGCTGTCAGTATAGATTCTTGATTATTCTCATATCCTTTCCAAATATATCAAAGTTGCTGAGCAGTTCAACAGATCTTTGTGTTGTACTTTATCGAATGCCGTTGCGTAATCTTACTTACACTATATATATATATATATATATATATATATATATATATATATATATATATATATATATATTCAGACTATTGTCCTCATTGTTATCACAAGGTTTCGGCCGTTGAGAACTCCGGACTTTATCAGGTGTTCATTCATCTGGGTAACTTACAAGGAATTCTAAACTGAACCCTTTATTCAATCTACGAGGATGGACTGTTCTCTTTACACTGCCTATGTTTAGGGATATCGTCTAGCTCCTGTTTTTAGTACTGCATAGTTATTGCTTGCCCGTTTCTACTGAGTGCAAGAACACACTAACAAACCCAGGGATTGAATTCACAAGCACTATGTTACCAAATTCACAAACCAATGTTTTAATCCACTAGGCCATCATAGAGAACCATTCCTCCACCTGTTAGCATGGCTGATGCTAACCTCCAGGAGAACGACTCATTGCACATTCTTGGTCTCACATTATCTAATGACATGAAAAGAAGCGATTTTTTAAATCAGTTCACTCCAATCAAGGCGATAACACCACTAAGATCGGAGGAGGGGGTACTAGGAGTGAAAAAAGAATGAGAAGACTTTAGAAAGAACAGAAAAAATCAATCTTAAGCAGGAAATAAGGGATAAAACTATTCTCCGGACGACAGGCGAACCAATCTACTCCTATTGAAGGAAAAAGATTAAATAGTAAATAAAATTTTTCGAGTTTTAGGTGGAGACGTTAGAATTATAGAATTGAAGTAGGCTTTAGGAGGAACCGAAAAAAAAATTCTAAACAGGAAACAAGGGATAAACTTCTGCTTCTCAATTGATAGGTTTACTACGAAGAAGGTTAGGTCACTGTGTCGGGCCAGACACTTTTTCTTGTCAGAATCCATTTTGCAGATTTAGAAATCTACCATTCGTCCGTGCATTGAATATTGCATTAACTATCTGATCTGATGCTTCTGTTATGGCTGTTCTAGCAAAATCACGTGGTAGAGATAAACACTCAGTTGTGGAGCAAGCTAAGTGAATAATAATCCAACCTTTGGAAAGAGAGCTATTTATGTTGCCATGGAGCATCCCATTGTGCTAAAGTGGGATAGTCCATTGCTTGGGCTGTGATTGGCTGCTGGTACCTGAGTGGAGGTATTTCTATATAAATACCAGCTTGATTCATCAGTTAGTTTGCAGGGTTTGTATTAAGTTACAACCTGCTTCATTTTTGTCTACCAGCTGGACGCTAGCTGGGACCTTTACGCCGGTAAGTACTGTTTATTATTGTTATTCTACAGCTGTAACCAAGAAAGGTTATTGAAAAGAATAATCACACGAAGGTTTATAATGAACGATAATACATAGGAAAAGAACAACACATAAGATTCGCCAGCGGCGCGTAGAAGTACTCAACTGCTAGAAGTGAATCAAGTGAATTCCACAATGAATCTCCAGCTGCAGACCGCAGACGGTATCTACCAACTGCCCAACGCAGTCAGATGTGACACAAGGCCGAATTTAATGTGGGGTTCACGAGCTCGTCAGCTCAGCTAAAAATTCCCCGTAGACCCTGAATAAAACGGGGTCGGGTAGGTATTTCCCGAGACGAGACTCTGCCCTTCGGCAAAGCCCTATCTGGGGATGCTGTCTGCCCGGAGGCAGAGAGTTTAACCAGCAAAGCTGAAGACGAATCTCCAACTGCAGGCCGGCCGACCAACACATACAGTATTCACTACTGTATTTTTGGGAATAAGGGAATAATCATTATCCTCCGTGGCTATGCTACAACAATTATATATCTCGACAAAATGTAAAGAAGGATCTGTAATTTTATTGGGTTTGACCTGGCACAAGAATTTCACACTGCTATGGCTGCCCCGAATCTAATCTATGATTATATTCATGATGGTTTTTCTGATGAGCTTTCTTCTTGGGTATATAGACATCATGAATTAATTGATTAAGCAAATTACTAGATCGACTTCCCCTTTTTACTGTTTAAATAGCTAGATGTACCCGTAAAGTTCTATTCTAATTGGACATTTTTCTCGCAATTCTCGCATGTGGAATTCTCTTCCGATTTCTTGCTTCCATTAAAAATTTAAAAGCAATGTCAATCGCCACTTGCATTTTATAACCTTGCATGATATATATATATATATATATATATATATATATATATATATATATATAGAGAGAGAATATATATATATATATATATATATATATAAATTAAATAAAGTCTGGTGCCAACAGGGCGCCCTAGATCGTTGCCGAGGTTGTCAACGACATGCCCAGCAAGAGCTCGTCAAAACCTGGATGTACAGGTAATGGGAGGGACTTCGTCTTTCAATAGGACCACCCAGACATGGCTCTTCGCCAGCGTGCCGCACCACTAGTCGCCTGTGCCCTGCAATGCACATTCACTCCATTAGAGCATTATGTCATGTACTGGTGTTCTGTATGCTACACTCGCAGTGTTTCTTGTTTTCCATCTAGCATCATTTTGGCCTTTGGCTCCTATAAGAAATTCATCCGCTCTTTGCTAACCCCCTCCAGGTTCGTTTGAATTCATAGTTTTTGCTCACTTAGACTGGTTGCCAACCCAGGCCATAGCGCTCAGCTAGTTCTCCTATTAATCCATAGCTGGAGAGGAGAAGAGATGGATTCATAGGATATTTGCGCAGAGGTAACGAACTGTCATTCGAACTCGTCTTTCTGAGTTTTCCAGCCGTTATTCATAAGACTCGAATCCGAAGCTTACAGCACCGGCTATTCACCAGCGGTCACCCATCTTGATACTGACCAGACGTTCGACATTGCTTAACTTCGATGATCGGACGAGAACCGGTGTTTCAATTTGATATAACGTTAAACACGCAAACAAACATCCCTCCCACACAAGTAGCGCGTGTGACAGCAAAGTTGTCCATGCCACAAAATGTTTAATATCTAAAACAACTAGAATAAAGTTGACTTTCTTTTTTTCCAGGTTTTCAGATAAGACGTTTCACAAAACCCTTTTCGTTATTCAGCTAGAAAGAGAACTGGTCAAATTCGTACCAGTAATGATACCAACATTTATAGTCTGGTTTCCATCTTCAAAGTCCATTCAAGAACAATCAAGAGAACGGCGAATACTTTAAAAAAAGAGGGAACAGTAGAGAGGAAAACTGGAGCAGCAGGTCACAGCAGGAAGAGGGATCATCATTTCAACTTAGTGGTAAAGAGATCAATTAGAAAAGATCCAACTCAGTTCATAAGCTATTTGACATATGAGAGAGGAGTTTCAGCTATGATAGCTCAAAGACTTGAAAACGAAATCGGGTGTGAAACGTGCGAGAGGCAACTTGTTGCTCCAGGACAGAAAGTTAGAAGGTTAGAGAGGCCGAGGATCATCTTGAATAAGTTAGAAAATAATTTTGGAATAATACACACACACACACACACACACACACACACACACACACACACACATATATATATATATATATATACACTTTATTCCAATACTTCATGAGCTTCCGATCCCTGACTATGATTAATTAATGAACCTGTCATTTTCGTTTATGATCAATTTCATCGCGATTCTTCTGTTAAGCTTAGCGAGTAATTATAGATTCTTATTGCTCAAAGTAGAGTGTTATAAAGATCTCGGCAAATTCCAGTAAGATATCTTTAATCATTTCTAAGATACAAAATTTCAAAGGTTACTCTATAAAAGCAGAAACGATGGCAAGGTAAACCTCTCACGATCAATACTCTGACAGTGTCAAACAAGCTGATATATACAAACTCCATACCCATGTGTGGTTGCCTTGTGCAAACTTAAAAGCTGGAACCAAAGGTTTTATTCATGCTGGGCAAGATCAATCAATTAAATGACAATTCTCCTATAGGGCCGAAGGATTATGATTACGATAGGCGGAGACATGTCTGTTTATGTTGTGATTTTGTTGAAGTTATATTTTGGATATTGTAGGATATTATATGGACTAATGTCGTGAAACATCTTTTATGTTGCTTGATGTGTTGCTGGTAATTTTACTATAAAACCGTATTTTCATACTTTCATAGGGTTTTGTTTTTGATTTAGTGTTCGCTATTTGCCCACAGCTGCGACCCTAACAAGTGCTACCATCCCAGTCAGGGTTGACCTGGGCACAACAGCAATTAAGAGGTGGTTCCACGAGTCTAAAAACCTCCAATCTCCCGATCACACACCTTACTGTCAGATGAAGTTTACCGTCCTACACAGGATTACGTTGCATGAAAAGAAATCGACCCAATATATGAGAGGTACCAATGAATATGATTTTTGCAATTCATATGTTTTAGGGCTACCAGGAATTAGCTTCTTTTGATAAAATTCCCAAGACCCGAATAACAAAGGGTTTTTTCCTTTTGATGTCACATTTTACTGATTCAAGATCAGATCTCAAGATCCTTGTGTTCATTTTCTAAAGAGTTTTTAAAAACATATTTTTGGCGGCTGGGATTGCAAATTTATTTTCTTCAACACGCGCAGATATTCGAGGAATTTTCAAAAATAATCTTTGATTAATTTTTCCTATGTGAATCAAATGTATTAACCCTTTTACGTGATGATATAAGGTAATGTTACCCGCCTTTAATTTCGTTTGATCTTGCAAACGAATTTTTCTTTTTTCAGGTTTTATTATTTCATGTCTGTCTTGAATGTATTAAAACTGCATCACTTTTGATATCTTATCTTATTTGGCCAGCCCACTTCTCAAATTCAACTGATAACTTTATCCCTCTGACGGCCAGATGGCTTATATGTAGGTAACACAACACTTCTGAAAGATGATCTGGAATCAACAGATATCATTTGACTGAATATAGTCAGAAAGATGCAGTGATGCAGATGCACAAACTGCAAGATATTCTAACTAACCCAGATAAGTATCTATCTATCTATCTATCTATCTATCTCTCTATATATATATATATATATATATATATATGTAGTTTTAAAGTATGTCATATTTAGGCGACAGACTGTTTCATGCTTAACGCAATCATGATTGTTGTTTACAATGTTCAATTATATATATATATATATATATATATATATATATTGATGCATGTTTCATTAAATAATATAGACAAGTTTTGTCTATTTATTTTAATACTTATTTTAATACTTCTCGTTTCCACTCACGCATGGTCATGTGTGACGTCACGAGCTGCGACGCGATTTTCGCTTCCGCGTCTCGTATACACGAGTTAGTTGTTGCTTTGAAATTTTTCATGCAACAAAAACAGACTATCATTATTGTTCCGTCTATTGGTTGATATATTGAAAAGTAATTGTCATCTTTGATAATGGCTTTTGTAATCCGAAAGCTCAGATTGCATTTAAACATGTATCGATATGGTGATTTCCTTTCGTCCTTCAATGATAATGTTATTAAACTTATCAGACAATATGAAAGGAACTTACTTAAAATAAATAGACAAAACTTATCTGTATTATTTAATGTAACATGCATCAATGAAAAATTGCTGCCTAAATATACACAATATATATACTATTTACATTATTCAGACTATTGCGTTTCGGTGGTTGTTCGCTCCGGCCTTCTTCAGGTGGTTGGAATGTCGAACTGAACCTTTATTCCGCACGCTGGGGTAGACTGTTCTAGTTCCACGTGCCATGTCTAATGGATGTCGGTTATCAGTTATCTCCTGTTAATTCACCTCTCCAAGTTCTCCACTGCCTTAACCTTGAACTCACAACGCTTTGGTTCCGGATCTAACCAATGCCTTTATACACTGTGCCATTCCAACCACCTAAAAAAGACCGGAGCGTACAATGGCTGAAACGTTGTAATAAATATGGCAACAAATATGAGGACAATAATTTCATTAAAGAAGACTGACAATAATAATTAACCTGCAAGATCCAAATTACAGAGAACAAATATTATTTACAAATTCACATGTCCCTTAAGGAACTGTGTTCCTGATCAATTCAAATTCGTAAATTATTATATTGGATATACTACAACATACCTAAAAAGAAGACTCACATTACATTTCTCTGATCATAGCTCAATTAGGTCTTATATAAATACACATGGAGATCTATCAAACTCTATCCACAACATACTCATTGATAATACAAATATAATAGCCTCATCTCATTTTTTTTTTCAATATACGTTTGATATACACAAAGTGAATTTTAAGATTGATTGTTCAATGTGATAAGTGAGATAAAATTATAAGGAGTGATCATGCAGTGATTTGGTGTATGAAAGCTTGTAGTTTAAGTTTGTCTATGAAATTAAAACAGTTTGATTTTTGCAAGGTGAACTGTCACTTGTGTGGGTTCAAATAATAGTGTGTATGTGTGCGACAATTGTATATATTGTTTAAAGTCATAAGGAGTTATGTGCCTTTGACTGATATGATGTAAGTTGATTAAATATACAATTACTACTTCGGTAGTGATATATGTCACTTTTTAGAGTAAATTGTAAGTTGGGTCAATTCGCGCGGCAAGACTTTTTGAGTTGTGTTGAGTTGCTGAGAGAGAGTGGCGGCTGTTGAGTCAGTATGCTGGTGCACGTGGAGTTTGTTGGCATCTCTCAAAGACTTATTTCCTGACAGCCTGAATCAAGTGAAGCGATCCTATTTATTGACTTTTTTGGGTTTCAAACCGGCTCCAGATAGGTGAGCGGGAAAACAGATTTGTTGCAACTTGCTACATTTTTTGGGTCCTTTTAACCAATGCGAAGTCAAGTTTGAAAAAGTGAAGTGATGATTGGTTAAAATTGATTTAGGGGAAGAGTGTATTTTTCCGGAGTGGTGAATAGCAAATATGGAGGATTCCATTAAGGTCACCCCCAAACCGAAAACTAGATTTTACCAGATACGCAATAAAGGTAAAAAATCAAAATATTTCAGAGGCTTTATTTTTTTTTTAATTTACTAATGATCTATTTGGATAGTACTTACGTATTTAAAACACATTTATCAGTTTCTAGGTATAGCATAACATACACCCTTACAGATAAACAAAAATTGCAGACTAGTAGAAGCTTTATTTTTTAATTTGCTAATGATGTAAATATCTATTATTGTGAAATACAATAATTGTGTCACATGGCAAAAATGTAAGGAGTTGGGTGAGACTATTCATAATTAAGTATCCTGAACCTAGCTAATCCGATACACAACCGATTCATTCGATATAAATAACAAATATACAAAAAGATGATATCCTTCGTTTTTTACTCCTACACATACCACAATACCCCATATACAAAGGGAACCTACAAAATAAATCCCACGATTTAAAAAATTCTTATGTACAAACTTACTATATACACATGTTCGTAATATATATATATATATATATATATATATATATATATATATATATATATATAATTTATGAAAAAACTAGGTAATCCGTATGGGTAAACCTAAAGAGGATAAAATCCAGAGAGCTCAATGTAAATTCAGAGCAAATAATTTAAATAAAAACAGACCACTTTAAATGTGTCAATATCTGCTAACTGACTCATGTCTTCTCTCTCCCCCCCTGACTTCCTCACTTCCTCACTTTACATATGTTTAATACGGCCCGTCAAAAATGTGTAAATTTTCTTTTCATTTTTTGTTTGGAAGTAAAGTCTGATGATCCGCAGTCCTTTAAAAGGGCTGTGGTGAAATAATTTATTACATGGAACCTTAAAGTGGTCTTTTTTTTATATATTATATATATATATATATATATATATATATATATATATATATATATATATATTGTGTGTGTGTGTGTGTAAATCTGAAGATGATATGAAATGAAGGTTGGGAGGGGCGTAT